AGATTATCCACGACGCCTGCTGAGTAGACTCCTGCGGATGCACCGGCTACGTCGCGGTTGTACTGTCGGGCTCTCTGCTGAAGCGTCGTTTCGATGGTTGTTGCTTCCGACCGAAACTCAGCAACAGTACGGGGCGGATTGCGGATGAGTCCCGCGAACAATTCTTGCTTTACCCCGTGCATGAGGTGGCGCACCTTCTTGTCTTCCGTCATGCCAGGATCAGCTCGCTTGAAAAGGCGGGAAATGTCTTCGATGTACATCGCGACAGTTTCGTTCGTTCGTTGAATCCGTGTGCGGAGAGCTGCTTCCGCCCTTTCCCGGCGATCACTGTTGGCGAACGTACTCAGTAGCTGCCGCCGAAACTCTTGCCACGACGTCAGAGATGCCTCGTGGTTTTCGTACCACACTCGTGCAGAGTCTTCCAACGCAATGTAGACGTTACGCAGCTTGCCTTCCTCGTTCCACTGATTTAGATTTCCCACTCTCTCGAAATGCTCTAACCAGTCTTCGGCGTCCTCGTATGGGTCACCATGAAACACCTTTGGAATGACCGGTTGGCTTACGATGAGTTGTGCCGGCGTAACTTGGCTCGTCATGGTGGTGGCGGCGCTTGTCTCCGTCACCGATGCCCTTGATACAGAAGGGAGTGGCCCAAATTCTGGCAACTCTCCTCGGATACGGCGGCTGACTCGTTGGTGCACCGGTGTAAGCTCCACTGGTTGCGGCTGGTCAGTGCTTGGACTTCGCTCTTGCGTGGGGCTCGGAATCATGTACCCAGCACCTCCACCAGAAAATGTAACGGATATAACAACCTCACAACCAGGACGTCCTATTTACAAGGTTTAATAAGGGCGAACTTGTGCCCAAAGCCAAAAGAACTACACAGTAGCTGGGAGAAAGCAGCGAACGCTCGTCGTCCTCTTCTTCTCCTCTTTTCTTTGCCGCTGCTCGGTAGCAGCTCGTGCACAGGCTGGGCCGGCTCGTGCCTTCCGGCGGGCTTCATGAGTCGTAGCGATGCCGTCAGCGTTCCTCTTTTAACAACGTCTGCGTTGTACTGCGCCTTAGCAATTCCTCGTGGCAATATATATATATATATATATATATATATATATATATCTTTTGACCGCGATTTTACTTTATTACTATATCTAGTTACGGATTTTCCTGCTTGCATCTTATTCTCAAACCATTGCATTGCTTTCTATGTTCTCTAAGAGTAAGGGCTATGTGAAACAGCTGTTTTTAGCTCCATGGTTTCAATTGTTTCCACTTCCATAATTCTTAGCAATCATATGGCTTGTTGCGGCTGTTGCGTTGCATCATGCAAGCATGTAGGTCCTGTTTTAGTAGATCTGTTTACTGTGTGTTTAATCTGAAAGCACTATTTAAAACATGAGTGTGCTAATGCATCATAATGGAGGCACAGTTTGATTTAAATACTTCTTGCTCGCTTCATAATGTAATGGTTCCCATGCTATTTTCTCAACCACACAGTAATAATTAAAATAGACCGGTAATTTATTTTTGAAGTCTGCATTCATGCATGTTAAAATGAAGCCTGCCTGCAGCAGGCGTTTTGTAGCCTGGAAATTTGGGGTCCTGAAAGGCTTGCTCTCGCACATATCTTTCCCACATATGAATTCACTGTGATTAGTGTATCTAGCTACAGACTTAAGAAGGCGACGAAATGGTTTCCACCATGTGATTGTGTTCTTGTGTTTCTTTTTTTTGCCGATGCAGTTACTCTGTGTGAAAAACGTATGCTGCGGAGCTATAGAGGCAAAGTCAGGTGGCTCATGGTGGTGTTTTTTGTCTCCTGCCCTACGCCAATCGTGTATTGTCGAACAAACAAATAAATGGAAAGGTAGAGTGCAGCTGTATAAAAAATCAGATTCATAGAAGGATTAGTGTGTGCAAAAACATAGGCTGAACTGTTTGTTGTCTGTATTGTTCATGCTTCTTCTATTTCTTACTCAACCACACTATCTAGCCACTGTCAGCCATTGTTCAAATGAGTACACGAAGTTGAAGATGTTGCCATGTGTGTTATTGGATGTTACAGTGTTAATGGTCTCAATGTTGTCTCTACGTTTGCTGTTAGACATGGGTTTGATGTCTGTATACAATGTTGGTGCAATGTGATTATTTGATTGTTTGATTGTACTTGATACCATCACGTTAGGGCAACGTGATAATTTGAATGTTGTTGCCTCGTTAAAAACAACACGTTAGGACAACGTCATTATTTGAATGTTGCTGTAACATTAAAAACACTGTGTTATGGTTATGTAACATTAAAACACTGTGCAAAGTAATATAAACGTCGGTGCAATGTTATATTTTATCGTCTAACGTTGCCTCACAATTGTTACATTCAAACCACGTTGACTAAACGTTCTGCTTTACCTGGGTAGCTAACAAGCAAATAATAATCCCAAAATAAGCAAAAAAAAAACAAGTGGCGTGACTTTTTTGAATCGCAAATTTATTTGAAGCAGCAAAAGTGTATTGCATTTCTTAATCTTCAAAATATTTTAGAGACAACAAGACGCCACTCACATATGAAAGGATGTTTGAAAATTCCCTTAGGGTTTTTCGTATGGCGAAAACATTGCGCATTTATCAAGGATAACACACATGTACTCCAGGGCAATCTACAATTGGTTGAATGCAGTTTGTGAGTGAATCACTCAATGTACTTGGTGATTCTGTCGACATTTGTTCACTGCCACACGCAACTACAAAATTCATCGACAAGAGTGCTATCATTGAACGGCGAATGCGTTAGTGGTGAGCGAGATTATGACTAAAAGTGCGGTATTTGCTGTAAACCTGTAAGCAAGCCTAAAAATTGCGACATACGACTAGACGGAAAAGAAGCTCAAATCGCTTCGCTATCAGCGGTACTGACAACTGTGCTAAAGAACTGCGCGATATGCTGGTGCAGAGCCTAAATAAACAGCACTATGCTATTTACAATTTTGTGCCTCAAACATGGTGTGGCTAGATTTCAGGCATAGCAAATCTCGAGCACCTGACTTTGTGACGTTTACGCCGCGTTATGTGACTTAGAGTGAATAAACGCATTTGCGCCCTTCAATTATATGTGTTGGCTTTAGAATTTTTGACAAACAAAAAAGAAACGCTAAAAACAGTGGCTTTTGTTGTTTTCGCTAAGCCTGAGCTTTTTTATTATCAATTCTAACAGCTAAAACTCAGTGCTTTTCTCCAGAGTGCTTGAGTTTTAAAGTGTGGAGCACTTTAGGGCCTGGTATGTTGTCCCACCTGTAGTGCCATCTGCCCTTAATTTCACTTGCTTTCACGCAGGCAAAACCATACACACTTAGCGTCAAACGAAATGAAAACAAAACAAGCAACAGGAGGGCAATGGTTCATGCCTTCTGGTCATCAACCTTGACAGAGATAAACTCTCCGGCTTGGAATCACTGCGCAAGTCTAGGGTGATGTCTAGATGGCGCACTCTGTACCACTCGCTGCTCGTGTTGCGTTTGATGCTGATAATATATATAATACAGATGTATAATCTATAGTCATATGTGCTGAGCTATAGCAAGGAGGCCCGAAAAGGAAGCGAGTATCAGAAGAAGTTATACTGTGGTGAGGAGCAAAAAAAGCGGGACGAGAGAAATAAACAATTGGATAGCCAAGCATGGCATCACATGGCCGAAATTGTATATAGCATAATCATGTATCAAGTCATAACAGAGCCAAGAAAGGGGAAATAGAAATCTTGCAATGAGGAATTCTAAAAACGAACGTGAGATCTGGATCCGACGTTTTGAGGTGCGGACTTGTCTACCATGTGCGCTTGTCGTGATAGGCAAGTGGTCTTGTCCGTCACGATAAGTGAACATCATGACAAGCGAAGGACAACCGAACAAAATTCGAAAATGGGGGGTGATGGTCAAGCGAACTTGGCCATCACGCCCTGTTTTTGAATTTCTCATAACCATGTATAGTATAATATAGCAAGAAGCAGGAAAAGAATGTGGGGGTGATGAGAACGGGTGGTGTTTTCCACTTTATCCGAATGAAAGCATTTTTTTTTGGCCATGGATGCTCAGCAGGCTGCACATTTGAAACGACAACGCACGTGAGCGTTGCTTATTTGGAAAAAATTTAAGATATATGTCTAGTTTTGCGTAACGAATTCCACTGAATGCGACATTAGTCGAAGCGATGACTGAGTTTGCCGTATCTTCGTGGTTACGGCGGTGAAGAGCAGGTGCTAAGTGTGAATTTGAACCGAAGCAGGATGCGTGGTAGACGTGGCTGTTGCCATGACGCTATACTATTGCGTGTGTTGACGGGAATCGCCACATGACTGACGCTACGCGTGTTTCGCCACAGAAGGCCTCCGATACCCAGTATAACCAATGATGAACCGAGACGATGAGGAGAACTTCAGCTAGTCGGTACATCCTCGTAAGGGCAGAGCACGCAAAGACAAAAGACGGAGGACAGGGTAAAAAATAGCCTTCATGGTTGCTGTTCTTCGTCCATCATTTCTGCGTGCTGCGGTCATTATAAAATGTACTGAAAAAAAAAGCGAAATCCTGGAATTGTGTTAGGAATCAGCTTATGACCGCACAAATTTTGTTGCAGAATGCAAGCATGATGTCGGCATGAGTCTTGCATAAGAGGCGGTAGTTCAAGTTAGGTGTGAAATACTGAAGTCAAGCAGTAAAACAACCCATGCATGCACGAGTCACACCCGTACCGTTGACACCGTAATGGACCTACAGTGTCAATATACTTCATAGTGTCAACATACTTCATAAGTTGAAATTGAAATGTATCCTTAACCCAAAGCATAATGTAACATTTTTGAAGTCTGCTAAACTTGAGCTCATGAAGAAACACGCCTGTAAAGAATTTCCTAATGAATGCCAACTCTAGAAGACATCATAAGTGTATCACGGGAGAGGTGCACCGGCAGTATCGGAATCTTGAAGGTTCCATTAACAGATTATCCCACAACCTTGAAGAAGTAGAGAGCTAATAGATTTGTAAAAAGTGCTTACTTTCTATTCTGTCACAAATCCGGGAACGCCCGTTTCCGGCGGAACAAACGCGATTGTATTCTGTGTCTGCGTTGCGTGAGGCGTCGCAGAGTGCCCACATGCGTTTGGTCTGTGGGTCGAAGTGTTCGTGTGTTGAGCGCTTAAAGTGATTTGTCTTGACTTAGAAAATTGGATGATGTATCGATTCACGGTGGCGGAGCATTCCCGCAGCAACCAGTGGCCCGCGTTCCTGTAGAACAAGACTGTCGGGGCCGTCAGCCAGTCTGCGTTGAACCTTGCAATGGGCGTTGTGAGAAACTCATCCTTCTGTCCCCAGAGAATCAGTGCTGGTATGCTGAGTCGCCTATATTGCAGCTTGTCCAGTTGTTTGTTATCGTGGTTGAAGGCGCGATAGTAGTTCAAGGCGCCAGTCAGGGCACCTATAATAAACAAGTGTCAGTCCACAATATTAGATGTACATCAGAGGATGAGTGGGCTTACATATGTGCAGCAAGAGTCCTACATTAGCCTTAAAACCACCACAAGATCACGGGCAAGGTAGCCAGGGAGCCATGTGAGAAAAAGAGAACTGGAGGTAGCACACTGCACATCCTCAAAAAGCGCAGTAGTACAAGTTCCAGTTCCCGTCTGATGCAGGTTACGATACTTTAGATGAAATGTCCTGAATACGCAATTGGTAACACCGAACGTCACTGTCAGCGGTGATACTGGCTGTAGTGATGCCGCTTAAATAGAATTGTGAAGAGGCATAGGGAAGGTTACATATAAAAGAACGTAAGTCGCGCAAGCACGAACGTAAGACAGCAGATCGAGGTTTCTTGCCATTGCATTGCATTTCCTATCACACAGCTTTATGCTCGCCCGTGAATTCCTCCCCCCTTTAAAAATATCTTACCGCCTTCAAAAAGCAGGTTCCTGCGTTCCTTCTATTCAGCATATTTTATTGTTTTCGAAAGCAAGCAACACTGTATGGCTGTCACTTTCCACGCGGGCTTGAACCACTGGTAGATTACTGTTGTAATGGAATAGGAATAAGAGCACAGCAGTTCTTTTATGTATTTTTTTCTCTAATATATCTATGAGCATCTGAAGGCTTGTAGTAGCTTTCGCTTAAAGCTATATATAACTTTCAATGTGCGCAGGGTTCCTCTTCAGCGGGGGGGGGGGGAGGCGAGATTCAACACGTAAGGGGCTGATTGGTGACCCCGCCCCTCTTGAGCCCACGTGCGCATTCCTATGTATATAACATATATTTGAAAACACTGTTGCAAAATAAAACCATAAAACTTAGGTCATTGCTCCAAAACGTAGATGTTGGATGCGCTTGCAAAACCGATATCTCACGCAAATGGACTACTTGGTAAAGTAACACATGTGGAGCAGCTCCGTTCACGGAGCCTTGGCTGTGCTGCCCCAGAAAGTACTCGCGAGGCATGGCGAACAACCACCTGGGGTCGTTTGGTCATGTTAAAAGCCCATCGATCCCTGAAAATAGTTGGATGAATTTTTTAGACGTAAACTGAAGCTTGCAGGTAACCACTTGTGTTGTAAACGGGAACCACTAGCGTATAAGCACCTTCTATAATTTGGGTCGGCCCCCTGCAATCTGGTTAATAAGGCTTCAGTACAGACTTGTCTTTGAAATGTACTCGCTACATAGTGCATTCACGCAATTTACGGCAAACTAGTTTAGAGCAATAAAATACACATTGCATCAATCGTCATGTTTACTAACAGCAGTGAATAGCAATGTCTGCATAGTCTATCGCTAGTAATTGACATTACATTGGGCATGGTCGTGAGGTGCATAGTCTACGTACCAGGCTGAGAAAACATGTACTTGTGGACGTACTCCTCCCTCACGGTGAAGGCCTTGTGCACCTTGTCAAAGAAGGAGAGGTCCTGCATTATCAGATACTGTTCCGGTATTTTGGGATGCCGGAAAGGGATCATGTACCTGCATGAGTTGTGAGGATGTTGAGTAAAAATGTTGAATTTTTTTTCTGTGTAGCATCAGTTGACGCCAATAACGATTTCACATAAAATCATGACATTTCTTCTAGACAAAAGTTAAGAGAATACCAAAACAGTTCAGTTACATGGGCACCAAACATGAAATGATGTGTAGGCAAGACGTAAGGTTGATGCTTCGCACTCGCACACACACACACACACACGGATTTGTTCCAAAAAAAGATACGTAGACATATTTGCACATTACATGGTAAAAAAAAGCTGAAATGAAGCGTTAATGAACGAGACATCCGGCAACCTAAACCAGCTGGATCAAAAAACAAGATTCACGCGTCTGTGACGGACAGTGGTGCCGAACCTAGGGATTTTTGCTTGGATCTAGGAGTTTTCAACCTTTCGCAGAGGTTTGACTTTTTTGTTGAATCTAGGAATTTCTAAAAGGCTCTGTAAATTTCACCTTACGTGGCCTGATAAACGTATAACATAGTAATCATGTTTTTTTTCAAACAAAAAAGACTAAAAAAACGATTAGTTTAGCTATAACACTAAAGCAGTCATGGTGTTCCGCTTAATACTTCTGCAATGCGAGAAGATTATATGCTAAATACTGAAATAAACAAAACTCTGTTTTTGTAAGAATAAACATGCACGCGCGTATCAAGAGCGCGTGAGTGTTTGCAGCTCTGTGAATCCAAATGGACTTTGCCTTGTAGAGCACATAAGCACGTGTGAAAGCGCACTGCGTGCCTTCACCGAGAAATGTATCCATGTGAAATGACTTAAACAGGAGGCTTGGAGATGAACACAGAGAAATTAAGATTAGATATGATGGTAAATGTACTATATTGCCGAAACGGCGTGATGGAAAGAGGCAAGAAGTTCGGATGCTTTCAGTCTTTCCATCGTGTCCTTTCCATGACAGTGCCAACGTGACAAAGAATTACAGTATTTTTCTATAGGGTACCGCGGTGTGATGCGGAGCAAGTCGGTTAAGTGGCTGTGAGCACTTCGATTTTTATTGCGATAGCAATTATATTGACACTCTCGGCTGCATTTGGCCGCCGGCATCGGCGTCGATGTCATGTACCGTATATGTATAACGCATCTTATTTTTATGAAAACGCACGAAAGAAAAAAAAAAACCAGAAGAAAGCACTCTAACGCGCGAAGTCGAAGTGCATGACCTGTGCGTCTTGAAATCGAGGCGTGGACTACTGAGAGAAGAGAGAGAGAGAAACGTCTTTATTCACAGAAGCAAGGAGAAGGAGGGCGTGGGAAGAACCCCTAAGTCCGGGGTCCCTAGGACGACTCCAGCGACGAGCCGGGCCCGCTGTATCAGAGCTCGGAGGATCTCCGGACGTCCATCGCGGAGAGCATCATCCACAGCTCCTCGTTACGTAAAGGGCGAAGGAAAGCAGGTAAGGGAGGAACGATGTTCGCAGTGCACTCGATCGAGACATTTAAGGTCGCGGGTTGACCACCAAGCCACCCAAGGGAACGTTCTTCGCTGTTCAAACAGCAAGCTATTTATATTTACCACTTACCGCTGTTGTGGTTTCGGCATTACCAGAAATATGGCGCAATGAGCGCGTGTCTGCCACATCGCGTAGTGGCGCCCGCTCTATTCACCTACGTGTACTTTGCCCGGCTTAGAGAAGGGAAGCCAGGCTGCCTTGCGCGCGCTTATCTCACGGTGGCGAGGAGGGGGAGATCGTACGCCTTGATGGCCTCGGGCTTTACGTGGAACGAGTCTGCTGTAGTTACCGGCTGCAAAAAGGTCGCTCCAATTATTGCAGTCACCGTTAGCGAAAAGCGCGTGCTTTTCAGACTCCGCGAAGTAACAAATTAGGTGCTCATTTGATTGCATCTGTACCTGTGAGTACGTTTCTTGCGTAACTTGTGCGCTAGAAGCGTGGGGCACGTTTCTATCTGCTTTCCATTCTGCGCGTGACCTTCCAAATTGTTGCTATCGCGTTCATTGCTTCGCCTTTGTGGCAAAGCTGTGACTTTATTTTTCAATAAATAAACTAGGTAGCAGACGCTGCCTGCGTTGGCTTTGCGAAATGACGCAGGGTGGAATCCCTGGAACAGAAGGGGAAGCGAGTGGAGGTTAGCAGACGCTCTCTGTGTCGGCGTTGAGAGGCAGGAGAGGGAGAGCTTAGGAGAGTAGATAGATGTGTGGGGCACCCCTGTGCCATCGGCGAGCGAGCGCAAGCAGATGGTAGAAAAAAAATGGACAGAGTAACGCACACCTGTTGGCGAGAGGGAACGAGGACAGTCGCATATGAGTAGGGTGAGTGTGGACTATGAACCCTTGACAAACCCCCACCACGAGATGCTCCGTACATATTATTTGGTCATTAGGGAAACTGATTGGAAGTGCACAGGAAGGGCGTGGATATCAGTGATTAAAGAAGTCCTGCAACAGTTTTTGAGCATGGTCAGAAAATGCTGCCGATCGGTAGTAGAGGCTCCCGAGAACATCTGAGCCGAATGTTATAGCGCAGCTCACGGCCTGGAATTCACAATAAATTAACAATATCAGCTAAAAATAGCTTTTTCTTCAAAAAATGATGGAAGACGCTAACATATCACACGTAGATTGCCCATTTATTAGCAGCCACTGGTTAATTTGAACATGGCACGTTCGGTTTTTGTAGATATCGCTGCGAAATGCCGTCACCTGTCCGCGCGAGCACGCGCAATGGCTCAAGGAAAAGCCGCGTATTCGACAAAAAAAAAGACAAAAAGTGCTCAAGATCACGAGGCGTGCGTGACGTTTTTTGTTAGCCCCTCCCACTCCTCCCTGCTCAGATTCTAGTGATTTCGTCGGGACGGGAGAAGAGGGAATGCAATAGCAGCGCGGGACAAACATTTGTAACTCCGTTCGTACTGGACGGACTCCTAAATTTTTGCGACGTTGAATTTGTGAGAGAATACGCTTTTACAGGGAAATATTTTCATGGGTACTCAAAAATGTTTCAGGACCCTTTTAAAACAGAGCCCACGTATATCTGCTGGAAGTAATTCAACACTGCACATGCGGAAAACTAATAATGGACTGCAACCTCGAAAGCTGAAGGTACAAAAAAGGTACTAGAAACTTGCAGTTGACCCGAATGGACAAGTCTATGCCTTCAATACCGGCGCAAACTAAACTTAAGACACAAATCTGTCTGTGTGGAAACTTGTACCATATGCAAGCACCTCATATGCAACTCCTTAGAACATGAAGAAAAAATTGGCCGCATATCTACGGAGTGAATGATGGAGAGTGGAGCGAAGCATTCGTCCGTCCATTCGTTTTTGCTTCCGTCCGTCCATGCGTCCATCTGTGTGACCGTCCATGCGTCCATCCGCCCGTCCGTGCGTGTGTCTGTTCGTGTGTCCGCCCCTGCGTTCGTCTATGCATCCGCCCCTGCGTCCGTTCATGCGTTCATCCATGCATCTGTCTGTGTGTCCGTTCGTCCATCTATTCAACACTCCAAGTACCACCCCGTTGCCGCTTTTCATAATATATTCTCCATATAGAAGCACCGCCATACAGCGGACGTTCCAAAGACTAAACTAGAGGAGGCACACGCACACTTTCTTACGGCTTGCGCTTCAGGTCTACTTCTCATCTTTAACCACGTCGAGTTCATGAGATGTATTAGTTCATTGTATTCATGGCACTGCGGCCCAACGCTCGCTAAACCTTTCTAAAACTAAGGAGGTTACACCCAGTGAGTATAACGTAGCAACCCTTTCTTGTCATATAGTGCACAATATACATGCCAATAACTGCTAATGGGGATCGCAGCGTGGTCGTTAATTAAAAGCCGAACGCTTCTGTCTCTTAGTCCCCATTAGCAGCCATTGGCATGTACATTGAGCACTATTCTGTATTGTTCAATAACGCACAGAAGAAATCTCTCACCGGCATCACATTGAAGGTCAAAATGTTATACTTGTTACATACTACAACGGCTACGAGGGATGAACGGGTGTCGCTCTAAGGAGCTTCGCCCCTAAAAAACCGACTGCTCACGCTGCACAACCGCGATGCTCCGCATCAACCGATGATCCGCTCTGTGGTAGTATATATATATATATATATATATATATATATATATATATATATATATATATATATATATATATATATTGTAGTAAGCGATACAGACAAAACACCCGTTCGTCGGGCAAGCTGTTCTATTCTGCCTTTTTTTTTCCTCGCTTTCCAGCCCATGGCCCACAGCTGCCGCGCCGCTCTTCGTTACATTCGACCACACTGCAGACCTGACAACGAAAAAAAAAGAAATTACAGTTCATTGCACCTGCAGCGGTCCGAATGCTTTTTCAAGCGCGACACATGCACGGCAAAGTTGTTTCTTTTGCGTTTATCGTGAGTGAAGTTCCCATTTGAGGTGTTCACACGCCAGGTATTTTCTCCTACACGCTGAGTACTTATGAATGGCCCGTCGAACTTAGGGAGTAGCTTCTTGCCAGGCCCGCTGGTGCCCCTTTGCACCCAGACCTCGTCACCGATGTTGTAAGCAGGAGCGGATCTACGGCGTCTGTCATAGTGGCGCTTTTGATTTTCTTGTGCGTGGGTGGCTTTCTTGATCACCTCAGTTCGGATCTTCTAAAGGCCGCTTTGCGATCGTTGGCACGTGGAATTATAATGGGAGCATCCAGACTGAGGACCGCTTTCAGCTGTGGTAGTTTCCCATAAACAATTTCGTAGGGCGTTTCCCTGGTAGACGTCTGCAGGGCCGTGTTAATCGCAAAAGCGGCTGACGGAAAGTGGACGTCCCAGTCGGCCTCTCCTCTTTTCCCTGCCTTCGTATATGGAGCGATTCGTGTCTGGATGCTCTGGTTGGTTCTCTCAGTAAGGCCGTTTGCTTGAGGATGAAACGCGGATGCGAAGTAGTGCTGCACGCCTGCCGTGCAAAGGCACCTTTTCAGTTCCCCGCTACGAAACGTTGTAGCCCGATCAGATATTACCTTTTTTGGTAAGCCATGTCTCCATTCAAATCGGTGCTTGTGGAAGTCGATTAGATCGACCAAGTCGACCCTTGATCTCAGAGTAGCAAGGCGTATGCAGAAAAATACAGCGCCGAATAGACCAGCTGCAGAATCAAAGATGGAAAAGCTTTTGTGAGTCATTAGACCCACGCAAGCCATTGTCTCATGTATGGAGAACTCTACAGGGTCTTCGCTCAGGCGCCATGCAACGTCATCCCTTCAAGGTTCTCTCACTTCGTCTCAACCGCCGCGAAATTGACGTTGCAGAGGATTTTTGTGCGAACATAACCTGGCGGGAAAGTCGTATTCTCCGATGTGCTTTGAAGTGATATCCCCTGTCCGCGAGATATTAGTATGGATGCTCCATTTTCTATGGAAGAGCTTGAAGCTGCACTAACACTGTGCAGGCCTCACCAGGGCCCGAAGGGATAACATATATGGCGCTGCCTCACTTAGGCGAAGCAGCTAGATGACAACTGCTAAATTTATTCAATATGTCATGGGAAGATGGCATCGTACCTCAAAAATGAAAACGGAGCTGTCTTGTGCCACTTCTAAACGCAGGAAAGTCCCTCTGATGCTGGCATCATACCGGCCTGTAGCTCTCACCAGCTGCGCTGGGAAACTCATGGAGCACATGATTCTCACGCGCCTGGAATGGTTCCTTGAAAGGCACAACATTTACCCCGACTGGATGGCGGGATTTCGACGAGGCCGTTCATCGATTGATAACGTCATCGATTTGGTGTCATCAGTAAAACAGCAAAAATTTAGAAAACGACTAGCACTTGCGCTCTTTCTTGATGTGAAATGTGCATATTAAAACGTTTCCCATCAAGCTATACTAGACACACTGCTGTTAATTGAACTGAACTGGTATAGCGCATTACGGGGAAGAAGAAACGGCCGAGCTGACCGACACAAGAGGACAGAGCGCTCTGTCCTCGTGTGTCGGTCAGCTCGGCCGTTTCTTCTTCCCCGTAATGCGCTATACCAGTTCAAGTACGATGAACCAACTCGCCCAATCTTCAACACTAATTGAACTGAAGGGCGAATGTTTCAATGGATCCGAAACTACCTGACAAGAAGATCCTTTTTTGTATATACTGATTATGGCCCGACCTCAGACCACTACACGTGCCAGTGGCGTCCCGCAAGGTGGTGTTTTAAGCCCAGTTCGTTTCAATCTTGCCTTGCTTGGCCTGGCGGAAGCTCTTCCTGAAACAGTGTTTTATTATGCGCTGATGACATCTGTGTCTGGGCATCTGCATTGACACGCCTACAAGTTCGAGCAAGGATACAGAGGGCAGCGTTGCAAGCATCTGGCTATCTTCGCACGCAAGGCCTAACAGTCTCAACAGAAAAATGTGTACTGGTGGCCTTCACGCGCAAGGCGACGACAAGTTATCCGATATGCATTAATGGCCAGCCCATCTCTTACAAGCATAGCCATCGTTTTCTAGGTATCATTGTTGACCGAGACCTCTCCTGGAGCCCTCATGCGACTAGCTTGAAAGCGAAACTGGTATCTATTGTACACGTCCTGAAAGTCATCGCTGGAAAAAGATGGGGTCCGTCAATAAGTTCCTTGCTACAACTTTACCAAGCACTCTTTATTGGTGTACTGTGCTACAGTTCTGCTCTGCTTCCTAAAACTTGCAAGACAAACATTCAAACACTTCAGAGCATGCAAGCACAGACACAACGTGCTTGTCTCGGTCTACCACGAATTACCTCAACAGCTGGAACAATGATATTGGCTCGGGATCATCCAGTTACGACTTACGTCACAACCGACGTGCTGAAAGCACATATTCGGCACATTTCACGGATGGTATCAAGCCCCTTGACATTTCTGTCAGTACAACGGCCGCAGGCATCGTTCTCAAAGGTCGTCAGCTGCCCCCACGCTTTGTTAGCATCCAGTTTTATACGCTTGGCGCGTTCACTGTCCACCTACTGGAGCCTACGACAACCCGACGTGCGCCTTTCCGTCCCAGGAATATGAAATAGAAAAGCCCTTTCTGCCTTGGCCTTGAAGCAAGCGACTCTGGACTATTTACACACTTTCTACGCTGACAGAATCTACGTATACACAGATGGATCTACCACCCAGAGTAGCTCCACCGGCGCCACCGTCATTTCATCGCGACACATGTACGTCACTTAAAAACTTTGTCACGTGAGCACATCTACTGGTTCGTAAATTGTTGCCCCACGAGGTACCATTGATTATATCAAGCAACCACCGGCTAATCGATGGGCAGTATTCTGTGACTCCAAGGCGGCTCTACAATGTCTTTCGTCGGCACTTCATCGCGGGTCCTACGAACAACTGGTATGGGAGATCAGAGAAATGCTGCACTATGCGACCGAACAAGGACGCAACGTTGTGTTCCAGTGGATACCAAGTCATTGCGGTATCTCCGGCAATGACCTTACCGATGAACAAGCCAGAAACGCACACATACAAGCAAACCCTGTATCCGTCCCTTTATTTAGGATTGACTCGGCTAGGTACCTAAGTAAGGTGGCGCAGGACATGACACTCCAAAAGTGGCAGTCATCACAGTTCACGCATCAATGACTATATTCTCTCGATCCATCTCTGTGACTGCGGCTACCCTCTGGTCTTTCTAGGGAGGAAGGTACAGTGTTGTGCCGTGTGCTTCTGGGCGTTCGCCTTCACCATTACCTACTCATTTAAGATACGGATGGCCCTCAGCACGGAATGCAACGGCTGCGCCGTCGATGAGACTATTGAACACATCTTATGTTACTGCCCGGCATACACAAACGAGAGGCTCCAACTGCGCAGTGTTTTAAATCAACTGGACAGAAGTGATTTCACTGTGAGAAAGTATTGGGAACCATGGCACTGCCCATCCAATTTCCGAAAGGCAACAATAGCACTGTTGCACTTCCTCAAAGACTGTTTGATCGTTTGTGATGGTGAAACTGTTACGCGTCAGCCAAGTCAGTGACCTTTTATGTCCTCCTCTATAACTTTCCTTCCCCTCTCCCCTTCTCCAGTGCAGGGTAGCCTACCGGGGCTCAGCCTTGATTAACCTCCCTGCCTTTCTCCTTGTGTTCTCTCTCTCTCTTATTTCTTAGTTAAGAGTTAATCAATAATAGTAATGATACTAAAATATCCTTGACGTTTTTGACAGAATCTAGAAAATTTTTGAGGGCCAATCTAAAGATAAAGTGTTGTTTTTGGTTGGCCTTTACCTTTTTTAGCATTCATGACAGAACAAATTGCGTATAGAAAACTAGGCTCGACATATATCTTTAACCGTGTGAGGCCACTTGTGGGTCAAAATTTCTTGACCAACTTTTTTCCTAACGCCCAATTATCGATGAAAGATAATGGCCCAAGGTATCACCCACCCACGAGACCCTGGGCCATTTTGTGGCCAAGACAAGACAGACATCGAGGAGTGGCTAAAGCTGTACGAGAAAGTTAGCGTCAGCTACAGGTGGGACCCAACCCTCATGCTAGCGAAGCCCCTTTTATATCCTAATGGAACTGCGCGGCACTGATATGAGACGCATGAAGCTGACCTCACAAGTTGGAATGTCACTAACCATAAAATGCAAGGCTTGTTCGGCACACCAGTCGGTCGTCAGCTGGCAGCAAACAAAACTTGCGGGCCGGGCTCAGGATTCAACAGAATCCCATGTCGTTTATGTACAAGACGCGCTGTCTCTCTACCACGCAGCTGACGACAGCATGACCAAGGCGGAGAAGATCGGGCACATTTCAAAAGATATTGCCGACGATGCCTTCAATTTCTTTATGTGCAAAGATTGTTGAATGGTGGATCAAATCAACAAAGAGTGTCGCCGCATTTACAGGCTAAGGGCCGTCGAGCTGCCCAAGTTTATGACAGATTGCTGAATACCGCCACCTCGAAGTCATGCGAAGACCCCCCTACGACTCATCCAGCCATCACCACTTGAAGACATCATGGACGAATTCGCCGTGAGCTCGCGGCCATATCTCCGACTCTATCTGTTTGTTCTGACTTCAGGGACAACATGCCGTTCATATCCCTTATTCAACATTATTAAAGCAGTCGTTCGGGAGAAAATCGCAAGCTTGGGCTTGCCGTCACTCTGCTCGGACCGGCATACGAAGGACTACCCAGTTCTCCCGGCCACTCACACGCGGACGCCACAATTGTGGCACTTTTGCAGCCACTTTTCCTACTTCTTCGGTGGTCGCCTCCTAGGCACTACCACCACCAGCCGGACAGCCATGCCTTATCTTATAGTGATACCTTTTGGAGGTCAAATCTATCGCAATAATGTATATATTTTGGACGATACGTTCTAGGAATTGTTTGGGAGAGTGTTTCTGTATGCAAGGGTTGAATATTCCCTCCAGGATTAAGTTATTTTGTCAGAATCCACCGTTGCAAACCAACAATAGAGTCTCGGATACTCTTCTGATATTTTTTGTCAATTCGTTACATACACTGAAGTCGTGCGAAAATTTCTCCTTAGTGGATGTAGAACGTTCAGTTTTCTCACCAGGACATCCTCATTTGCCTTGGGCTCAGCAAAAGTTGTTTGTAGAAGGCCTTTGGGTGCATTCCGTTGATTATAATCATTCGGCTGACTAAATTCTCGTAGAGTGTAGCCAGGCAGAAGCCAATCATGGCACCCCAGTCGTGTCCCACTACGACAAGACGCCGCTTGTTGCTTGGATCTGCAATTAGAAGTGATTACATATGCTCACAGAAGCATAAAGTCAAAATAGCAAAAGCCCTCCCAGTAAAACAAAGAACGAAATGTAGTTCACAAAGTGTCGGCTTTTAATCATAACCCTGCAGATAGAAGTAGCAAGCACAATAAAATTCAGTGGTGCCTAGGCTGAAGTAGTACAAACGAAACAGACAAAGAGACCCGACAAAATTGCTTCAACAACAAGTCAATTTAGCGGCACTCAGGTTGAAACAGAGAGATGAGGTTTGCAATTGAGAATAGCTACAACACCACTGGATAAAGTAAATGTGGAAGAACAGGTTAAAACAAAAAAAACGTACTTAAATATAATTTCGAGAGCACTACTTTAGAAAGTAGTCAAACTGCAAAACTAGAATTCATCGAGCTCTCTGAAGCCACTCAAGCCTTCACCAAAACAAATTATGGAAAAGTAAGTACCTCAAGACACCAAGTAGAATTTTCTCAGCAGCCAAACTGGTTAACGATCATAAACTTAGAGACAAACGATACTATAATGGTCATAGAATATGGGCAGCACTATTAAAGGGCCCGACATCACGGCTACTAAAAAAAGCTCAGCAAGAAAAGGACCATGATGCAGGTCAGCAAACATAAGCAAGGTCACACTGTCAATAATTTTAATCACATAGTCAAGTTGAATCAAGAACTGTGCTCCGAATTGTACTCCTCGTGTATAAAAGACCTTGAATTTGAGTGAAGGTGAAATCAAACGTGACACTTAAATTTGAAAGTAGCCACCAATGAACTTAGAAAGACTTCATAAGGCAGCGTGATTGAACGGCTGAAGACGACAGCCTAACTACTGATTTTTTAATAGCGGAATGACATTTCTTTCAGAAACATTCCAGCCAATAAAATAACCAACAAACGAAACCAAAAAGGAGACAGAAAAACGGCTTGACTACCAACTGTGTTTTCACGTACGCGTGGCTCATGTACTCATGCGGTCACATGGTCAAGCTACAAGCTCTCAACAAAAAGTGCAAAATAGAATAAACAAACGCACAATCACTCAATGCAATCTTCGCCATACTGATAACTAAAGATTACGAAAAAAGATTCCACAAAAGTTTCCTTTCCTTCACGGTGTGACGGAGGTATCACTGCAGTAGGCTTCACCATTCTTTGCAATGTGAAAAGCTTCCTAGTATTTCACGTGCCAATATTTTATGGCTCCTGTCCAAACTCCTGCTTTTGTTCAGCACTGGCTTACATTTACTCTGCTTTCAATGAATAGCTAAATTAGAGCCTGTTCTTTTCTCTAAGGATTTAAAATGTTCCAAGGCCCTAAAGTTCACACAAGTGACCTGTTTGGTCCATGTGCAACATCCTGCAAGTAAGTGAAATTCAGTAGACCACGCTAAAAACACATTTCACCGCAATATGCCCATGCTTTGCTTCACACTGATGCTTTCTTTTTCCCGATGTGTGCGCATAAACCACCCAGTTTCCTTGGTGCAGAAGACACCATGGACACACCATATCTGAAAAGAACTTATTTCAAGCCATGCGCAACACGGTGCGTAAAGGGTACCACCTGTGGTGTTCTTTGTTCGGGACAAGTCATGTTTTGCAGCGAAAGCTGTTATGAGATCACAACTCGGGTCACGCGCAGTTTTCCGCCGCCGGTGTCTTTAACCACATTGAGCGAAAATTAGAAAGAAAAAAATATACACAGTGAAGCTCGAACCAAGGTCTGCTGGGTGCCAGCCAAGTATTCCACCAGTGAGCCACGCCGGTACTTGGGGCTTGGTAGCAAACTTGCCTTAGACAGGCTTGATGTCGGGAAAGCAATCGCGTTATTACGACTTATAAGGCGTTTTAGAACAGCGAAAAAACAACCAGTTGTCACACACTGCGAATAGCGTAACGAGTTAGGCCGACTAATGTTCCAAGCCATCAAAAAAGCTTGTTCTTGTTCCCCTACTAACTGTGGCGCATACCCACATCAACCATAATTCCTCATCGTCGTCAGCCACTGCATGAACAATTGGCACAAAATTCCTTGCCAGTGTTCAGCGTACCACGCTTCTCAGAAAAATGACGAAAAATTAGCATAGCGCAGCGGTTCTCAAATTGGTTTCGCGGAACACGTAGAATCTGCGGAGCTGTTGTAGTGGCCTGAAAAAAAAGTCACAGCTTTGCTGCAAAAGTGAAGCAATGAACGTGATAGAAACAATTGGAAAGGTCACGTGCAGAGTGGAAAGCAGATCGAAACGTGCCCGGCGTTTCTCGCGCACAAATTACGCACGAAAAGTACTCACAGGTGCGGATGCCCGCGAATAAGTGTCTCATTTGTTACTTCATTGACTCAGAAAAGCGCGCGCTTTTCTCGAACATAGACTGCAATGATTGCAGTGACCTTTGTGCGCCCGGTAACTACAGCAGAATCCTTCCACATATAGCCCGAGACCAGCCAAAGAGTACGATCCTCCCCTCCTCGCCACCGCGAGATAAGGGCGCACGCGAGGCAGCCTAGCTACCCTTCTCTAAGCCAGGAAAAGCACGCGTAGGAGATTAGAGCGGGCGCTGTGGCGACGTGCGCTCACTGCGCCATCTTTCTGGTAATGCCGAAAACACAGCAGCGGTAAGCGGTGGATACAATAAGCTTGCCAATTGAACGGATGAAAAATTGATTGATTGATATGTGGGGTTTAACGTCCCAAAACTACCATATGATTATGAGAGACGCCGTAGTGGACGGCTCCGGAAATTTTGACCACCTGGGGTTCTTTAACGTGCACCCAAATCTGAGCACACGGGACTACAACATTTCCGCCTCCATCGGAAATGCAGCCGCCACAGCCGGAATTTGAACCCGCGACCTGCGGGTCAGCCGCCGACTACCTTCGCCACTAGACCACCGCGGTGGGACGAACGGTGAAAAATGTTCTTCGGAGTGACTCAGTGGTTAACACCTCGCCTTCACGATGCAGAGATCCCACGTTCGACTCCGCGCGTTAGAGTGCTTCTTCTGATTTTTTTCTTTCTTGTGTTTATATACATATAGATACGTATACATATAAGGTGTATGAGGTCGACGCTGACGCTGGGCGCGAAATCCAGCCGAGAGTGTTCATATAATTGCTATCGCAATAAAAAAAACTTTCTGCAGTTGCCCTCCGGCCTACCCCCTTCCCAGTTCGTCACATCAAATTGGTCCATCATCACTTCAGTAAGCCTACAAGGGGCCCCAACACATCGACGGCTGAGAACCGCTGATATAGCGAATGACAGCCTACTACCGAAATGAACTTATCAAAAATGACCTAGTGGTTACCAAGAAAGTGTGCTTGCAGTAGTTACCCAATGAGTATTTCGAAAAGGCTCTGAAAGACCGCTCTTCTAGAATTCACTGAGACTGAGCTGGGTCTTCCGTGCAGGCCGGGAGTTCTTCCTTTTTCCTTTAAGTTTTTGGGTGGGAAAGACTTTCATCATCATCATCATCATCATCATCATCATCATCATCATCATCATCATCATCATCATCATCATCATCATCATCAGCCTGACTACGTCCACTGCCGGAAAAAGGCCTCTCCCATGTTCCGCCAGTTAACCCGGTCCCGTGCTTGCTGCTGCCAATTTATACCCGCAAACTTCTTAATCTCGTCTGCCCACCTAACCTTCTGTCTCCCCCTAACCCGCTTCACTTCTCGGGAATCGAGTTAGTTACCCTTAATGACCAGCGGTTATCCTGTCTACGCGCTACATGTCCAGCCCATGTCCATTTCCTCTTCTTTATTTCAACTATGATATCCTTAACCCCCGTTTGTCCCCTAATCCACTCTGCTCTCTTCTTGTCTCTTAAGGTTACACCTACCATTTTTCTTTCCATTGCTCGCTGCGTCGTCCTTAATTTAAGCTGAACCCTCTTTGTAAGTCTCCATTTTTCCGCTCCGTAGCTAAGTACCGGCAAGATACAGCTGTTATATACCTTCCTCCTGAGGGATAGTGGCAATGTACCTGTCATAACTTGAGAGTGCTTACCTGAATGTGCTCCACCCCATTCTTATTCTTCTAGCTTACTTCAATCTCGTGGTTAGGCTCTGCGGTTATTACCTGCCCTAAGTAGACATAGTCTTTTACAACTTCAAGTGCACTATGACCTATCTCGAAGCGCTGCTCCTTTCCGAGGTTGTAGCACATTACTTTCGTTTTCTTCAGATTGATTTTAGGACCCACCTTTCTGCTCTACTTGTCTAACTCCGTAATCATGAGTTGCTATTCGTCCCCTGAGTTACTCAGCAATGCAATGTCATCGGCGAAGCACAGGTTAATAAGGTATTCTTCATTACCTCTTATCCCTAACTGTTCCCATTCTAGGCTTCTGAAAACCTCCGGTAAGCACGCGGTAAATAGCATTGGGGAGATTGTGTCCCCTTGCCTTACACCCTTCTTGATTGGTATTCTGTTGCTTTCTTTATGAAGCACTATGGTAGCAGTTGATCCCCTGTATATTTTTTCCAGAATGTTTATATATACTTCATCTACGCCCTGATACCGCAGTGTCTGCATGACGGCTGATATTTCTACTGAATCAAACGCCTTCTCGTAAAATATGAAGGCTATGTATAGTGGTTGGTTATACTCTGAGCATTTCTCTTTCACCTGATTGATAGTATGAATGTGGTCAATTGTTGAGTAGCCTGTTCGAAATCCTGCTTGTTCCTTTGGTTGATTGAATTCTAATGTTTTCTTTACTCTGTTAGCAATTACCTTTGTAAATAGCTTGTATACTACAGAGAGCAAGCTGATCGGCCTGTAATTCTTCAAGCCCTTGTCATCTCCTTTCTTATGTATCAAGATGATGTTAGCGTTCTTCCAAGACTCTGGTACCCTTCCCGTCAGGAGACACCTCGTAAACAGGGTGGCTAGTGTTTCTGACACAATCTGTCCTCCATCTTTCAGCAGATCTGATGTTACCTGATCCTCACCAGCAGCTTTCTTTGTTTGCATGCTCTCCAAAGCTTTTCTGACTTCTTCTATCATTACTGGTGGGGTGTCATCTAGGTTACTGCTAGTTCTTATAGTATTAAGGTCGTGGTTGTCTCGGCTACTGTACAGATCTCTGTAAAACTCCTCCGCTATTTTAACTATCCTATCCATATTGGTAGTTATTTTGGCGTTTTTGTCCCTTAGTGCATACATCCGACTTTTGCCTATCCCAAGTTTCCTCTGCACTGCTTTGA